TTAAAGGGGTACTTGGACGTAATGTATGGTCGTTTTGAAAAACCTGCAATATTACGTCTTAGCCGCTGAAACTTTCTCAACATAAAGATAAATAAACAAGAAATCACTCTGTAAAGTTTCATTTTGATATTTCAATGGGAAGTATGACATATTTACGATTTAGTTTTCGTCCGCCATTATTTTCTTTGATCATCGATTTGGCTCAGGAGAATGGGTCTAGGAGAATGGGTCTAGTTTGTATTGCTGTGAGCAACATTAATTATACATTGGCCATCCATCATTTTTTTTTAAGTTTCTTATTTGCAGTACTGCAAGCACTGCATGAAAGTTTAGTACTTAGATGAAAATGTCCCACTTTTGATACAAAGCACATAACAGCTTACCAAAGGACTTGTCAGTCATCCAACTCTCTGTAAGTACTGGGTGTCCCTCAAGGTGTCTGTTGTTAATTCTAGTGTTCTGTGTTGGTACGGGTGTACTATGTTGCGAGAAGACAGGACTTGTCATTCCTGATTGGCAGTTCACAGAGGTTGTGTTACTCCCAGAATCCTTTGCATGTAGATACCCATGATCCTTTGCAATTGAATGCCCAGAATCCTTTGTTTTCACTGAAACATTAGGGTTCTCTTGATTCCTGGTGCTTTCAAAATCCTTTACATTATCCAAATCTTTTGCATCCTCAAAAAATGCAGTTTTGGCATCATTTTTGATACTCCCAGAAACTCCAAGGTACCCAGAATCCTTTATTGGATGAAWTTTTCCACTCCCAGAATCCTTTGCATTCTCATATTCAGAATCTTTCGCATTCAAATTGTGCTTAGACATCTCAAAATCCTTTGCAGATGCAAAATYGYTTGAATCTTCTGACAAAGTATCAACATCATTTAGAGGATCTCTTTTGCCTTCTTTGCTAACAGTCCACTCTATATCTTTGGTATGTGCCATGTCAAATCTTCCTTCAAGATTTTGTCTAACTGACTCCGTAKATGAATTGTGGGTCAGCTTGTCTTTGCTAACATTTAGGTTTTCAACATTTTCTAATGTAATTGTTTGGTCCTGATCATCACTACTGGTCTCTGCAGTCTCGATTTCCTCGTTTTTGCCTGTTTGCCTATCAAAGGTGGGTATTTCTTCGTCCTTTTCAATATTGTTTGTGACCAAAGGAAATGATAAAGTTTTTGAATTCCACAAAACACGAAAACTTGGCCCGTCCAATTCGTGAACAATATTTTCGAACTCTTGACGCACTTCATCTAGCTTTGAACGCACAAATGCACCACGAACATGAGCCTACGAAAAATAGACACTGTCAAAGTTTTGAAAAAGTCAAGAAATTTTACGCAGAAAAACACTTCTGTTTTCTTAAAAAATAGAGCATGATATCAATCAGTCAAAGTAAAATTCATGTATTCACCTAAAACAATGTTCATTTGCAAGATTACCTGTAAATTTGTGATTGCTTTCTCGTCTATTTTTCTCAAATCCAAATCTGCCGCCATTTTGTTTGTTTGTACGTAACGCGCAGGCTTAACGCTGTACATCCACTGACTAGAGATACTACCGGCTCGTATTACACCATGGACTGACATTCACTTTTAACTGTTTTTTCGTCTTGTAAAAGAACTTTGAAGACATGGCGGCTGTTGAAAGTAAAGGGTGCAAGCCTAAGAAATATGAATGTAAGTTCACTTCGGAAATCATGGAATCATTGTACAAGTTTAATGGTTGAATCGTACAAGCTATTTCGCAAATGAGCTTAAATTGCAAATTTTTGAATGTAAGGTTATTTTGTGGAGATAGTAAATTTATATACTGATTAATTGTACAATATGACTTTTTATCTTTGTCAGATCTTGACCACACTGCTGATGTACAGTAAGTTTGACAACTTTGCATCTGAAACTTAAAACCACAGGAAGCCCAATATGATTTATATTATTTTTTCTGATTCTCTTTTCCAGACTTCACGCATGTATCCTTAATCTTTTGAGTCAAAATTATTTATTTTCTTCAACTGTTCTATATTTTAAGCTAACTACATGTAATTTGGAACTTGCTTTTTCCAGTTTTTCAGTTCAGTTTTTATAGTTTAAGCTTATATTTTTCCTGAAGTTTTTCAACATTCCAACTTAGAAAATACACATGCTTGTATAAGGGTGAATAGCAATCTGTGCTCCAGTTAAATTCTTATCTAGCATATTAAATCTATACAATTTCCAAATAGGGGTTTGAGAACATAATGCACCCTTCAGATGACCTGCCAACCTGCCCCAGATAGTATTATATGCTTTCTAATAAAAAAATAACATTTAAGGAATTCTAAAACAGATATGAATCAATCCTTGACAACTTTTAACATAGGGGGTGACGATCTAAAAGAGGCTTTTGAGCAGGTACTTTTAGAAAAATATATTCAAAAGCAATATGGATTATCAAATACAACTGCCTACTACTGAATACCGAAGCTCAATCAAAATCTCTTATTGTTTATAAGCTGGTGAAAATGGTATTTTATTATCAGGTTGCGGTGTCAATGTTTGGATACATGACAGAGTTGGAAACAGTTGACATTGCAAGAGAAGAAATCATAGAAGCTGAAGGTGTAGCTTTACAAATCAATGTCGAAATTCATACTGGGATGATAATGGTCGAGCGACTATTTCTTGGTTGTAATTTTAAAATACTCTAGTTTCGAATTCTCCAATGCTCTGTGTTAGCCTCACTTGTGCGCAAAATATTTCTTAGTTGTGAGCGTAAAAGTGTGATTTCAAATCAAATTTATTGTCTTTCTTCACAAATTCCATGCGTTTTTTCGAGCTATCAGTGAAACAAAAGAATATGTTACTTGGTTTTGAGGCTAACACAGAGCAAACCAGAACTCGAAATTGGAGTATTCATGGGTCTCCCTCCAACAAAGTTTTGCATGCCTGTTTGCTCCTTTTTGTCTATTTGACTATTTTCTTTAATAATTTTATTTTAGGTGAAGATATGCTTTCTCTGTTGTTTCACTTTCTTGATGAGTCACTATTTCTGATGTGTGCAGATCCATATTTTATTGTCAAGGTATATGCATTGGGTTACCTGTGTATTTTTACCACAGGAATCCCAAATTACATTGTTATACATTTTCCTTTTGTTGTAAAATGCTATTCACAAATCAGTTGTTGAGCTAAAGTTTAGTATTGCTCTATTCCATTTAAATTTTAGGAAGTAGAAATCACAGAATTTGATAGAGAAAATTTCAAGATAAAAGCGATTGAGTAAGTTTATTTTCCTTAGAGGAATGTCGATATGTTTTTCAAACCTTTATTTCCAAGGCAACACTTGAAAATATGAATATTGAATTTAAGTTAACATTATTTATTTTCATCTCTTTCATAGAAGAGGGGAAGAATTTGACCTGAAGAAGCATCCACAAGTATGTCAAGCAATCAATCATCAATCAATCAATAGATCAATCATTCAATCATTCAATCATTAAAATAATCAATCAATCATTAAAATAATTGATCAATCATTCAATCAATTACTGTATTCAATCAATCAAATAGTCACCCAATTAATCAATTCATCAATGATTCAATCGACTAGTCTYCYYGCAGCCGTTCTTAGTGGTGGGCTCCCTGTGGGCAGGGGACAGGGAGCCCGCCACTAAAAACGGCTGCGAGGATACTATCAATCGACAAAACAATTAGTCAGTCAATGAACATTCAATCAATCAAACATCAACTAGTGAGCTAATTATTTTGTGTGTATTTTAGGGAACAGAAGTCAAAGCTATCACATATTCCAATATGCAAATACACGATAATGACAAAAAACATGAAGTTTTTGTAATTATTGATATCTAAATATTAAGTAATATAAGTTTTCTTTGTAAAATATCACAAAATATTTAAAGTCAATCAAAACGTGATTTACATATTATGATTTGAACGTTTTAGTAATTCAAGCATTTTTTAATGTACATAAAATTTAATATTTAGTTCTCAGAGAACTTTTCATTTTTACTCACAATTACCTGTTTTTGATTATGTCCCATTATTATTTATACGCAATATGAAATAATTAAAAATTAGCATAATATATAACTATTTCATTAGCCTGTGTATATCTGTTTCCACCCCTCCCACCAAAAGGGAAAATTTCTAGGGGGAGGGGGAGAGGGTGACCAGAGTTACACTAGTGTTCAATGTCAAACAAATGAAATAAACTGAAAAAAGCAAAGCTTCGACAATTTTGTTGAATTGATGTGTATTTTGGCAATATAAAGGAGCTGGTAATTCTATTCTTAAGAAATATAAAATGGTGCATGTGTCTCTGTCCTCTGATATAAACACGGTGGGAGTTCAAAAAACGCGAGAGAAGCAAGCTTATAGGAACACGAGCGTAGCGAGTGTTTCTCTTGCTTTTCGAGTGTTTTTCAACTCCCACCATGTTTATATCAGAGGACAGAGGTCTACACAAGCGGCTGTTTTATATTTCTTTTATAAAATTTTTGGAGCGAAAAGAAAATTTTGCCGGTAAGCCATGTCTCTGTCCTCTGATATTAACACGGTCGTCAGCCAATCTGAGCGCGCATTATATGTATAAAAAAATTTATAAAGTACTCTATTGTTTGGTTTATGGAGAAATCACAATGAATTTGCATCAGATATGACAAGAAGCAAACTCTCGAAAAAGGTAAGAAAGAAATTCAGCATTCGAACCACCTTAAACTTTGCAATATCCGTAAACTTATCGGAACTTCCGGAAATTCGCCGAAGCCGCGCGCCATGAAATCGATTATGAAAAACTGGCGGGAAAATCCACGTGATATTTGACACTCTATAACAAACATGGCGACCCTCTTTTCGTACTTCACCAAAACACCTAAAAAACCGTCTCCAGCTGAAGGAGACAAAGCAGAAGGCGTAAAAGAAAATAAAAAGCCTAAGACTACAGCAAAAGGAATTTCTCCCCCGAAGAAGAACGGTGCAAAAAGCGGAATTGCAGCGCCATGTGGGGTTTCAAATGGTCGAGTAGTCAAGGCCGAGTTGAAACAGTTTGATGTAGTTTGGGCTAAAATGGATGGCCATCCTTCGTGGCCTAGTATTATATGCGATCATCCGACTAAGTTGAAGTTCATAGAAGATAACCAGTGCCATGTGCAGTTCTTTGGAGATCCACCAAGTAGGGGATGGGTCAATGTCAAGTAAGAATCACTTAACTTAACTTCGTTAATATAACTATAAAGAGGAATGAGCTAAAATGAGCTAAAACGAGCTGAAATGAGCTGAAATGAGCTACAATGACCTAAAATGAGCTAAAATGACCTAAAATGAGCTACAATTTGCAAAACATACAAGATTTGTTTATAAACACAAGGAAGATTGAATTGCACTAAATCAGAGAAATATATTGTTTGATTTGACAATGGGAAACATAAGATCGAATTAGCATAATTTACAACTCATTGTTTTACACATTAATCACATCTACTGTGTTATAACCATAGTGGACTGCTTACACTATGTTCATGAAATAAAATCTAAATAGTTTTATTTTAACAAATCGTTCTTATTTAGTGACTATCATTCAACTGGAACAGTCTTAGTAACAACACATTCTGTACACTTGGGAAAACGAATACAAATTAATTAATTAATTAATTTAATAAATAATTATTAATTAATTAATTAATACAAATGTTCCAGTTGAGTGATAGCAACTATTTAGTCACTAAATTGGAGCTATTAGGTCGTAACTGTTTAGATTTTATTTCATGGACATAAAAAAGCACCCTAGTACAAATATATTTTACTACTTATTTCGTTCTTGTTTGCAATGAATGTATTTTTTAATTTTGGTCCTTTCRCCCATGCAGACAGATYCAACCATTCATARAAGGRGAGAAAAAATTACCAAATGACACATCTATCAGAGAAGCAGTCAAAGAAGCAGAGAGTGCATTGCAACTAAGCGTCAAAGAAAGAGCAAGCCTTATTAAGTGTGTACCATCAGATGACGAGGATGTTGATGAAGACATCAGTGATGACGTATTGATGGAGTGTGATTTGGACTCTCTGGAAACTGGGAATGATACAAAGAAAGAGAACGAATCTGATGATAATGATGAAGTTACAGGAAAAAAGGTACTTTGTTGTTTTACATGGTCCAAATCTTACCTGAAAAATATTTTATATTTAAGAAATATAAAACGACGTGCATGTCTCTGTCCTCTGATATAAACACGGTGGGAGTTCGAAAAACACGAGAGAAGCAAGCTTAAGAACATTTTGCTGGTAAGCTGTGTCTCTGTCCTCTGATATAAACACGGTCGTCATCCAATCAGAGCGCGCGTTATATATAAAAAATTTTATAATAAGTATTAAATGTAATTTTTTTTTTTATATTTGTATGTTTAGTAACCTTTACATTTATTTTTTTTAGTATAATAGTCGACAGCCAAAGAGAAAAGCCAAATTAAAGGGAAAAAAGAAAAGGAAGAGAATAATGATTGAGTCAGGATCAGAAGATGACGGAAGTGA